TTTTTAATCTTCGGATGGTTTAATTGTAGACTCCAAAAGCTTCATGAACAGGACCTCCGATTGTAAACACCTCTTCATCTGGGGGGTTCTTATGAATCAAGCGTCTACATGTAAAAGACAGCGACAATACTAATATATATCCTGGCAGGCCTCCTATTTTCCAGTCCATCTGTCCAAAAGACGACTTCTTGGACATGTTGGTTGAATTCACGTCCACGTGGTTCTGCCGCAGCGGTTTTAAGCAGTCCAGGAGCTGCTTTTTTAAGCCGAGATTCCGTGTGTTTTATCATGTTTTTGTTGATTCGATTGGATTTGAAACACCTTCAGAATGTGGTGGTAAATCGCACTTCAATCCATTGTGAATATACTCACATGTGTAGAACGCACAACAACAACCCTAGTGGACCCGAAAACACAAGAACCCTGGGAATCGCTCACAAGAACCTCAGCCCAACCTTTGAAAAACCCCCACTCTTCACCAAATCAGAAGTGCCCATGCCAATTATATAGCACAAGTGCCCATCTACTATCTATGGGGGGGTACCCTCAGTTCGTGACCTCTTCGGAGTCTCTAAGTGGTCTTTAACAGGCCTGTTTGTGACCGAACCTCCTGGTATCTCAAGGATGGTCACGAATTGAAGGTCCTGGTATGGGGGGGTAATAAAATCATCAGTCTACATCAACCTGCCCACGCCAGAACCTTGACTGGACGATCGGCACTTCCGAAACCAAGCTCACAGCGCCTTGGAGAGAGGGAAGATGGAGTTGTCACTCCGAGCTGGAAGATGTGTCCAAATATCGCTGGACTTCTAGGCTTACTGTCTAGGTTAAATTAAGCTTATAGACACACTGACTGGTGTGTCACGTGGTTCTCTGCAGGGTTTCCCTCCGACTTCTCACCCCCTTTCTTCTCTTTTTCGAAGGCGGCGCCCCGGAGCACCGAAGCTGGGACGAACGACCCGAGGTCTGGTCACGCTTCGTTCCGGCCACCCCCTCCGCTAGTCGCGGAGGGGGTGGAGCAGGGGATTGCTTCCCAGCCCATTTTCCGATGTGGAGCGACCATCATCGACCGTCGCGGCACCCCGTCGCGGCCATTGACATGACACGACACGATTCCTCGCGGCCATTGCGCCGCCCGCGTCGATTCGACTCCGCCGCCGCACGCGGAGACGCCTCGCGGAGACGCCTCGCGGAGACTTCGAACGTGGCGCGGCGTGGCGCGGCGTGGCGCGGCTGAGGATTTGAAGATGGCGGCGCAGTTGAACTTTGCGGCCGACGCGGATGCGACGGTGTCCAGCTCCGAGGCTTGGGGCGAAGGGTCGGGCACCGAACTTTCTGTCCCGTTTGGGCTCGAGTCGTACCTCCGAAACGAAGGTGTGACTGGACCCGAACATGGCACCCGGGCCCCCAGTCCCACCGAACCGAAACGAAGGTACGACTGGAGCCCTAGGGTGTATGATTGGAGGAATATGCCACGACCGTCCCAGTGACCTAACTTGAGATGACTGATGTCTTGAACAGGTCACTTGCCAATCCTGAAGAGGTCACTGGGAAGGTCCTGGTATGATGGTCTTTACACTTTATCTTCATTCTAATGGTTCATCAGTTGGGCTTGGGGAGATCTCCTGGGAGGGTCCGGGCGGAAGGCCAGCGTGCGATCGAGGGTGACGGGCCTGTCTGTTGGTCTTGCAGATCTGTGTGGGCCTGGGTCAGAAGCCACCGGTTTGAGATGAAAGCGATGGAAGCAGCTGCTTCATTGGCAGGACATGTGGTCGATGCAGCTCTGCGACGTCTTCTCGGAGCTCTTTGCACAGGCAGGCCGCGCACTCGCCACTCAACAGCAATCAGGATTGTTGAGGGAAAGCAGGATCAGTGCTTGACTTGTGTGATTACACTTGGCACCTGTGAGCCTAGGAGCAACTGGTCCTACCACCTCCCTCCCCTCTGGCTCTAGCTGAGAAGGGTCCCTCGTCGATTTCTTTGGTCCCTCCCCGGACTACACGCGACCTGGAGGCGACAACCAAACAATTGGAGTTTACTCACCCAGGTCGTTTTTTCTCCCAAACAAACGTTTCCCCAGGGCGCCTGCTTACTGTGGGTGAAGTTGAAGGGACGCGGTGAACGATGGAACTGCCTAATCTCTATCGACTCGAAAAGAAACGAACTCCTTTCTGTGGGAATCTCGCCTCCCAATGCCTGCATGCTCGGGTCTTAGCAGTTTTCTTCCTCTAGATTCTGGACCCAATTTGTCACCCGCACCCATGCGTCACCCTGACAAGGGCTCAGGGGCGATGCACGGCCTCCTTCGAGCCTTTTCGACGGGTCGAACCAATGCCGCGAACACTTCCTGAGATCATGGTGGCCGCGGGCGCAGTGATCCTGGTCGCGGGTCTCTTGACCTTCTTCATTGGCCTCTGCTGCTGCTGTTGCTGCGGCGCCAAGGAGTGAGAGTCAGGCCAGGTCTGCACAGTGAGAGCCCCCACAGCCTTCCGCTAAGTAGGTCTGGCTGGGGAGGTTCTGCAGGCTCATAGTTCGGGAGGACGGAAGAGCCTTGGGGGGGCAAAGTCTTCAAGCCTTCAGGTTCTTTTGGAGGAAAGGGAATGCATCCAGACAGCTGAGTGCTCTCCACGCCTCCAAGCATACGACTGCCAGGGGGAGGGATGCCAGTTGTCAAGTCATTGCCAAAAGGCATCCATTTGGGGGGTGAAGCCATGTGTTTCAAGCTGCTTTTTTGTTCGACTCTCTCGTGAAGCCAAGCTTCCTCCCGCCCTGGATGTAGCTCTACCCGTGGATCACGGCACAACGAAGCTGACGCGGACGTTTTGACGCGCCCTCCTCCGCGGCACCCGGATCGGGGTGGCACAGGGCCCCCAAGACTCTGCCGGGCGCGCCAGCGGGGAGAGTGGCAGAAGCGCCGCTCCCGTTTTCAAGGGCTTTGATCTTTGAGCTTCTGAGGTTGGGATTGCGTAGAAGCTTGGGATGACCCCCCCCGTGCTCGGTAGATGTGCAAGACGGTGGAACTTGTTGATGGACCCTGTGCTTTTGGAGCGGCGCGCCACGAGGTTTGGAACCACGAGTTGCTTGGAATTCAGCCCATGAAACCTCGCCAGTCCGTGCGAGGCAAAGGGCCTCTTTTGCAGGGTGGGGGGGGCCTCCAAGGCCGTACTTTTTGATGCAAGGTTTGACGGAAGAAAGGTTGGCTGCGCTCTAACGCGCCTGGAATTTTCGACACCTGAGCATCGCTTGGAATTCTGTCCTCACCGGGCTTTGTGGACATGGCACCGCGAAACCTTCCATTTTTTTTGGAGCTCGCGGTGACCTTGTTGGGTCAAGGGCCAACTGCAAAAGTTCCCGTGACCCGGGAGTCCCGCTGCCCATGGACCCCTGAAAACCACTGGTTTGTGGCTACCTATTTGGCAGGCAGGAAAACGAGTCGCTGAGAGGAAGAAAGACAGCCATCCAGTACTTCACTGGCAAAACACGTGGGTGCGAACCAATGGGCCCCGTTTTCTTTCTCGCCCGCCAGCTGGAAGCTGAGTGGATCAAACGCTCTCCGTTTTGGAATGGCCATCCCAAATCTGGCCCAACTTCCTATCCAAACAGGTGTCATGTCTGGGTTCATGATTTGACCAGATCCAAGTGACGTTCTCCCCACCCTCTTGCACGATCCACTTTGAAGGACCGAAAGAGGGGCGTGCGAGCTGCGCTGCGCTGAGGGTCTTTTGCTAGGCATGAATGATATGACGCCATAACTTAACTAAAAATCCATGGCCACTATTCCAAATTCTTTCACACCTTGGTCTCATAAGAACTTGATAGCGCGACCTACGACAAACCATCCAGCACCTTTAAGGGGTCACCAATGGAAGCGCCTACACGACTACCAGGGATCTCCAGACAGGACACCCCTGTTTGCAATGATGAAGGCGGCGACGGTTCGCGAGGAATCCATTGGAACATCCATTGGAAGAGCATTTTCGGGTGATTCCGAGGCTGTGCATACTGGAAGACCAGCCCTGATCCCCCTGATCCGGCAAACAACGTAGTCCACTTTTCGGCGCTCTCTCGGGCGCTCGTGTGGCGCCCGAAAAGCGACCTCGTTCGGTTCTGAATAAGTAAGGGGGAGGTGCTCAGGTCGCAAGCTCGCGAAAGTGTTCCGGAGTGCCACATCATTCCAGTCACGTCATGTACTGTTCAAAAAAAGGTTCGAAGTCTGCCACGGCCACGGCTGGAAGAAACACTCGGCGTGCTTCTTCAAGATCGGCGCGTTTCTCTCGCCTCGCTCCATACTGTACCTACTACGCATCGCTTCGTTCGTGGGGCATGCCGTTGGCGAGGCCTACTGGGCTCGGTCTTGACGGACCTGGGCATCGTGAACTCCTTGGGCGGCGCCACGCTGGGCTCCCTCATCGAGCTCATCTTCCCAGGCCGCGCTCCTGCCGCGCCCGCGTGACGACCGCGTGGCGTGACGACCAGCGGACCAGCTGTGTCTCGCTTGCTGTGCTCAGGCCGATTGGAACGATGCTATTGGGATGCTCTGGGTTTTATGGTTGTTGGATCGTTTGGATGCACTCCTTTGCGTGGCGCTGTCGCCGCTTCCTCGGCCCCGCGTGGGCTGCGGCCTGTGGAGGCTTGATGATCATGTGGACCTTCTCAGCGAGTCAGAGCAAGGACCAGCAGCCCATCGTTTTCGCCGGTTTTTTGCTGCCGAAATGCCGGGGAGATCGCTGCTGGGAGAGGATGGCTGGAGTGGCCAAAGGGGCGAGGGTTCAACTCAACCAAAGACGAGCCCTCCGCCCTACACATGCAGGACTGCATGCACGGTTTCACGGCTTAGCCAAGTCTAAGTCTAAGCGTCTAGACCAGACATGACCAGACCAGTCTCTCTTCTTCGTTCACCCATCTCGGTGGCCCTAAGGTCCCTACTGCACATCCACCATCCCTCTCGCCCTCCTCGTTCGACGCCCCCACGCCCTCCACGTCGAGGAGACGGACGTGACGGAGGTCTTCGGCCGCTTCGAGGGGCGGCACGGCGCGCGGCTGCTCACCGGCCTGGGGGTGGCCTTGCTCTGCTTCGGCACCAGCGCCTTGGAGAGAAGAAGCCGATCTGAGTGGAGTAGGTGGAGGCAGGTGGAGTAGGTGGGGTGAAGATGGGTGAGGTGGGGGGAGTGTAACTCGGGGCGCGTCCGGCTTGGAAGTGCTGGTGTGCCGTTGAGTTTGGGGGTTTTGAGGGTGGGGTTGGACATAGGGAACCTGAGCCTTGTGGTTTCTTGAGTAAGGATGCTGAGTGGCTGGGAAAGGAGGGTGGGCGATTTGCACTTGAACTGGGCTGTTTGGAGAGATGTTATGATGTTGAACTTGTTTGGAAGTATGTTCTCCTCGGTGACCTTGTGAGGAACTCCGCCCTCCAACCCATTTCACCTTCTCAAGTCAGCCCGAAAACGGAGCGTCGTCCAGCTTCCTTCTCCCGCTTCCCCATCCTCACGATGCATCTCGAGCCATCTCCAGCCATCGCTGCGTGCACTTCCGAGGCATCGTGCTGGCGGTGACTGTCTTCAAGATGGACTTGTGACCTCCGCTCGGCGCGGCTGAGAGAGAGGGAGAGAGCGCGAAGAGGCAAGTGGTCGTGGTCTAAGTGGTCAGATATAGCCTAGTATAGGGTCAGCTCGATGGGGCGTGGGAATCAATTGTTCCCCAATGCCTGTGACATGAAGACCCTAGTGCGTAAAAATGGAGCCATCCTCCGGAAGGGGGTTTAAACACTTTGCAGCTAGGTGGTGGCTTGTGTTCTGAATTCCAGTGACCCATGGGAACATATCTTCCAGTGCAGATCTGAATGTGCAAATCCCCTGTCTTCCAGCTACTTGCTCTTATATTCAATCAGAATGTAAATCCACTTGGCCTAGGGCCCTATGGGTATTCCAACTACTTGCCTCTGGCTGGATCGTCATCCCAGTGATATCTATTTCTGGAAGGCTGTCTGTGCTCCAAACCGCGCTCCGGAGACCAAAAGCTTTGCTCCGACTGATTGGACAAAAGGCACATTTCGCCGGGACCGTGGTCAGATGTTCTTTTGGGCAGCTGCCAGTATGTTTGACAGAAATCTTGACCCTAGGCTTCCAACAACCATTATTTTAATAGGCTGAATCCCGAATCAACTAAGGATGTTACACTACAAAAACCAGGTCAACCATTTTTTTAATGGTCTTGGAAGTCTAGGGTTGAGGATGTGGCCTGGGCAGTAGCTTCTTCAGTTCGTGACCGAACTTTGGGGACGCCAACCAGTGACCTGTTCCGGGCCCTTTCGTGACCGAACCAACCAGGGGATCAAGGTAGGTCACGTACTGAAGAACCAGGCAGCTGATGTTTTGCTGCAGACTTCTGGCAGAAGTCGCCAGTACTTCGAGGAAACGCTGGCACCAGGTGATCAGCACTGCCCCGACACGCGGAGCATTTGGAGGGGGGGATGAATCGATGAAGCTGGGGATTGGGCGTGATCGCGGTCAAGCCGGTGAAGGAAGGCACTCAACCTGCCGACCTTTTGTCCTGAATGTGCACGTTGTAGAGGTTCGATTCGCTTCAGCCCTGGAGATGTAGATTTTGGGAATCCAGCGGAGCGGCGAAGCTTTCGGACGCTCAGATCTGGGTGATTTGATGCCCACGTCAGCAGTGGCTCAAATGATGGAGGACGTACAATTCTGTGGGATGGACTTACCTGGCCAATTCTTGGACTCCCGAAGGTCCCGAAGCCATGGTTTTGTAGAGATGGCGCCGCCATGGTTTTTATATAGCTCGTTGGGTCCCCACCCAGGTTTTCGGAAATGCATCGCATTGGTTGCAAGGACTGCTCGGTGCGAGCATAACGCCCGGGTATAAATACAGTCCCCTGTTACTTTTCATGTCTTTCTTCGTGGCACTTGGCCCCCCACAACATCAAACCCAATAGGCGCCCAAATTCATTGCCGCCTTGGTGCAAGCAGATCGGACTGGCACTCTGCTGTATGAGTCCTTCGTCTTTGGGCCATCGGCTCTATCTTCCATCTGCAGACCTTCCTCTCGTGAGGGGAGTTACTGAACGAGACCAGTTGGGGGTCAGGCGAGCCGCAGAAGAGGACCAGCCGCAGCCAAGGGCAAAGTCCAGATCAAGGCCTCAGATGCTTCCCCATCACTTCAAGTTCGGGTCAGTTTCCTAAAGAGGGAGATCCGGTGGGTTGCATAGAGGGCATTGGGCAGCCATGAAGACGACCAAAGCTTCGCCGCTTAGATCCCCCCAAAACAGGGATAGTTCGCTTCACGAATTGAAAGACTTTTAGAAGGGGATGCGCTGTGCGTCTGTTTCATGGCGCCCTGTGCGAAGGCTAGCGGAGTTTTTTTTTCCTTCCTGCACCCTCAGTGATGGCTGGGACTCCACAAGAATTTGGTCCATCAGCAGTTGGGGTGCTTCATAG